CACATGGCTAATAACTTATAAAAAATTTATTTAAATTTTTATTTTTAAGCCGTGCAATATTTTTGTCCCCCCCGGTATGTAATATAATTTTTTAAAAAAAACTAAAATTGAATTTTTACAGTAATGTGTAATAATTAAGTATTTAAATAAAATAAATAATTTTTTTATACAATCAGCTTATTACCTTTTTTTTTGGTTAATTTACATAATAATTTATTTTATTTTTTAAACTTTATTTATATATTTTTATTTCTTTTAGATACTTTATATTTCTTCTAATCTATTAAATTGCTTTAGTTTAATATTTAAAAAAAAACTTTATTTTTTTTTTAAAAAAATAAAATAAATAAAATTTCTAGTTTATTGGTTTTAAATATTAATACTTTTTCAAATTCTTATTAAATAAATAATAATAAATTTATATTAAATCATGATTGCTAAAAAATTAATTATTAATATACATTTTTGAGATAAAATTACAAAAGTTATATAACTTTTTTTTATAATATTATTTGTTGTAATTTAAAATAATCTACTAAAAAATTCTTTTTATAATGAAAAATATAAATAATAAATAATTTTTTATTTTCTTTTAAATAGTTTTATATAGACAAAATACAGATATCAAATTTATCAACAAAATAATAAACTGTACATATTTATAAGGATAAGTTATCCTGAGTTATTCTTTAGATTCTAAAGAAATTATTATGATTTGTAAGTTAATAACTCGAAAATTCAAACATTAAAATGTGTCATACTAACCTTTAGACTCCAATAAATGAATTATAAATGAATCTCATCCAGCCTATTGATGTTTTAAAGAATAATTAAATGTTATTAAAATATCTATTCAACCTTTTTAACTTTATTTTTTTATTATTAATATTTCTTTTTATACCTTAAATTGCTTTATTTGTACAACAAATTTGGTAATGATGCACAACATGAATTTTCTCGCCTTATTTATTTCTTGGTTTAATGTGTTCTTATTAAAAATTTTACAAAGATATTGGATACATTGTTTTGCAAAAATATAAATAAAATAAATAAAATCAAAATTCCGAAAATGTATATCAAGCTTGATTGAAATTACCTTTGTAATGTTTGTAAGATGTAATTTATTGAGATATCACGCTCCCATACATACCATATAAATACATATCGATTGTATATTTTATTAATGTATTTATTAATAATATTCTATATTTTCTCCTCTTCCATTAATTTTTCTTGGAATGTTAATTTTAACATATCCAAGGTTAAAAATTTTAAATTCATTCCTTTCAACTCATTAAATTAAATTGCCGTGGTTTACTCACTTTCTTTTCTTTTTTCATACAACTGTGTAAAATATAAAGATGGGTAGAAGAAAATTGTTTGCTAGACCAGTCTTTTTAATAATGCTATTAATAATATTAGTATTTTTATTATCATTTGTCGTTGCTCAAAGCGAAGACAATAAAGTGACGCCTTCTAAATCAAAAGATGAACCAAAAAATGTTAGAGAACCTGGTAAAAATGCTAATGCCAAAACACCGAAACCAAAAGCCGAAAACGGTAAAGCACCTACAAAAGGGAACAATGAAAAAAACGATGCTAAAAATGATGCTAAAAATAAAAATGAAAAGCCCAAGGATGAAAAAGGGAAAGTACCTGATGATAAAGCAAAAGAGCCAAAGCAAGTTGATAAACCAAAGAATGATGATGATATGGAACAAGAATGTTATGAATGCTGGACTCGTAATAGGTCACTTTTATCAGCTTGTAATGGAATAACCGAGCAAGAATTTTTGGAATTTAATAAACAACAAACTTCAAGAAAAGTTGCAAGCTGTTTATGCGTATTTGCTGATAATATACAGAAAATTTTTGACAATGCTTGTAGTGCTGTCTGTCCTGATGAAAAGATTGAAGCTGATCTTTCTGACAAAGCCATACAATTTAAAAAATCTTTTAAATGTGATGGTAATGGTAATTCTATTTTGGGGAATTCTACCATGAATAAATTTGGTGCGAGCGGAACATATTCTTCAGATGTCTCAAAAAAAATTATCGTGAATAATTTGTATATAGCATCATCATTTGTGTTGGGAATTATTCTCGGTTTAAGTTAGCATATATATCTCATTGTTCACTTTTTTATAAGAAATTTTCTTTTCAATTTGTAAATCTTTGTACTTTTATTACTGTAATCTCTTTCTTTTGAATTTTTTTTTTTTACTTAACTATGGCAATTTAGTTTATTCCATCATCCATCATCTACAACTCCTGAATAACCCTTTTTAAATTCAAAGAAATCTTTCACCAAAGCACCCGCAGTTTCTCTTTACAAATGTTCTCCAAACACAGTAAAGTCTTTAACATGATTAATTACGCTTCCCAATTGCGTCTATTTTGGTGGGACATCATTCCAATAAAGGACTGAATTGGACTTTTGATCTAAAATAAAATAATTAAAATCCCAAAAATGGTTTCATTCTATGAATTTAAAGCATGTGAAAGTTGCAATTTGTCTTTTTTAATATATTATTTTTTTTAAAACGCCCCGAAGGTATGCGCAGCTCATTAATTATTAGATCGAAAAAAAAAATTAATAAATTTCAAAGGATTATTATACAAATTTTTTTATCGATCGACACTAGAAAAAAAATAATAATTTTTTTTTTTTTTATTACATACAATATCAACTACATTTTACTACTCTACTTTAATAACTCCTCCAACCTTTTTGTAATTTTTTTTTTTTTTGACTATCAAAATGCTATTAGTATAGTGATGATAATATAAAAATAAACGTATATATATATATAAATCAAAAGAAAGGAGGGAAGTTTTTTTTTTCTCAGATGATAAGGCATGAAAAAAAAGGGGGAATGAAACGGCCTATTTTAAAAAAGTTTTTAGTTGTACCTGCAAGATGTGACATATAAATAATATATATACACTGTATATAAAAATTTATTTTCTTCCAGAATCACCTCCAACCGTCGTGGAAGACGGTCGAGAACGGAAAGAATTTGCAGATTGTTGAAATCTATTGGTTGCATCTTTGGTATCTTGACCTGCAACAACAGCCATAAAACTTAACATCAATCCTTTTAGCCACTTGAAATCTTTATTATCAGGATTTGGACCACCAGTTGAAGTTCCATTTCCATTTGAATTTCTTTTTGAACTTGTATCATTAGTTGAACCTCCATTAGGTGAGGATGAATTATTACCACCAACACCACCACCAAGGTGAACGTCACAATTGACATCGCCATTCCACGGTTGATCAAAATATTTTTGAAGGAAATCCTCCCAATCATCACCCATCATTGAAATTCTTTCTCGAACTCCATTTCTCAACCGTGCCCACGCACGTGAAGTATGAAATAACCTCAAGGCATCATCATAAAATGTTAAAAGGTATGAAACGAAGAATATAAAACATACTGTCGTTAAACAGAAAGAATATACTACCATTAGGGATACGTATTTTACTGCTGAAGATTGAAGAACTCTTCTTGGTATATTCAATGGATGAAGAAGAAGTGCGGTGAATAACCCTTTCTCATCATTATCCTTTGAGGAATTATTACGGGTAGAAGGTGTTCCTGAAATATCATTTCTAGATAAATTTGTCCCATTTGGTGTTATATTACTTTGATGATATTGTGATGAATATAAATTTGATTGATGGATATTATTAAAGGAAGTTTGATTTCCTCCTGTTGGTGTCGTGGAAGGTCCCGAAGGATGATAATCATATTCATTATCGTCGTACCCATACGAAGACGGTGGTGGTGAGTTCGTACGAGGTGACATTTTATTCGTTATGTACTTCTTTTGCTATACCTTTTTTCGTTAAATTAACTTAAGTTGGTTTATTTTGTTTGTCAAATATTTTTTTTTGTTTCGTCAAAAAAGGGCAGAGAAAAAAATTTTTTTTCTTGAAATTTGTTTAAGCTAACGCTGATAGGGTTGTTCTTTTTTAAGAAAATTTTTTTCAACTGCAGACAACTTCTATTTATTGTGCAGGAAAAAAAAAAGAATAAAAGATATTAGACCCAAAAAAAGAAAAAGTGAACTTCCACAAAAAAAAAAAAAAATTTTTTTTCGGTTGAAACAGAGGGTATTGTCCCAAATAAAAAATTTGCTCCTCTAAAAAGTTTATTATTGTAGAACAAGAACAAAGAAATTTTTTTTTTTTTTTTTTTTTGATAAAGAAAAAGAGACATATATATATACACTCGTTTATAAGTAAAATTTGGCGGTTAAAAAAATCTTTTTTATTATATTATACAATAAAAAAAAAAAGACAATTAAAAAAAACACGGGCCTATTTGACTTTAGCATAGCATGATGTCTTATTGTTTTTTTTTTTTTTTCAGGCGTTTGTACTCCAGGGAATTTCCAAATATTAATAAAATCACAAGGATTCGGGGTGAACTTTTATGATTTGAATGATAATTGGATGATTTTAAATAAAATGGCTGGGAGTTTACTTGTGATTATTAAAAAAAAAAAAACCATTAAATATAAAGTAAACAACCTAGTATATATTTTCGTAAGCGTTCATTGTGGAATGTTCATTCTTTTTCAACATTCGCATGGTTTTTGTTTTCTTACCTTGTAAAGAATCATGCTCAGTTAAATTTTATTATATAATGCATTGTTGATTTTTAAAATTTAAACTGTATATATACTGTATATCTGGTTTTAAGACCGATTTTAAAGATAAGAAGTATTGGTTATCCGATAATCTTAATATCATAGTTAATTAGTATCGAATTTATTATTATATAAAATTATTAAAATTATTAGATATTAAAGTATGTTAGAAACCAAAGATAAATACTTTTTGATTTAGATTTAAATTTTTAATAAGTTTTATTCTAATGTTTCATATTAACAATAATATTTGTTTTTTAAAAAAAAAATTGTAGTTAAAATAATTATAATTTTTATTTTTTTTTAAAAAAAAATCAGGTATTTAAATCTTTTATAAAAATGCAATTTTTACATATATAGAAATTAAATTTATATATTATATCAATATAATTTCATGTAAATTTATATACATATAGAATAATATACATTTTGTTTATTAATGTCGGAGGATACTAATGTCTTCAACCTCAAGATAGAGGGTGTGACATTATGCGATAGATAACGGAGATATCGATATTATCTCTGGTATATTAAATCTAATCTTAAGATTATCGAGATCAACCAATAAAATTAATCTTGATGTTGATGGGATCGCGGAAGAATTTAATATAACTTTCTTTTTAAAGTATTCATGAAAGAGAACAAACCATTTTTATCATGCATGTCATCCTTTCGATTAATTTTTTCGGGGAAAGAGGTCTTGTACAGTAACTAAACTGTAATTATTTACCGATAATTTAAATTGGAAGTTGGGAATTATTTATTATAGTATTCAAGTTTTTCTTTTTTTTTTTTATTTGATTTCGTGATTATGCACAAACACTCGAATATCACCACGTTAAATGGCTTCTAAGAAAGCCAAAGGCCCACTCATAAAGTAACGAAGTTGTCAAGAAATATTGTAGGATCATCGATAATGAACAACAAAAACTTACAGAAATATGTCGGATCAAAGAGAAGGTTGATTATATTTCTTGAACTCCGCTTCTTTACATTTCATAAAAAAGAAAGGAACCTTTTGGAAGGTCCGAGATAAATATAGCTGGGCATTTTGGGATCAATGAAAATGATGAAGTAGATTTAACCGCTCCGCAATGTTTAGAAGTATATTTTTCCAAAAAGTCTCTGAATAGATCATTACAAAAAATTAATAATGGAATATTACAAAATCGTGATTGTCATATTGGACGCAAAGAGCTTGAAGCGTTGATAGAAATTTTCACTAAAGCAATGGTAAGATAAATAATATAAAATATATTGTTTAGTACGCTTTTATATTTGTGTAATGGTTAATATTTGCTTTCTTGATCGCGAATATTTAGGAGGCTGATAAATTTCTTTGAGAAATGACAAGTCATTGCAAGGCGCAGATTCCACGTCAAGGAGCTCGGTCTAATTTAGCACGACGAGTCGGAGCGAAGTGCGATTTTATTTCAACTGATGAAACTCAAGAGGATCAGAAGACAGACAATGTGTGAAATGATTCAAAAATTTATAATCACTTCATTTTTCTATCAAAATTATTAATTTTGAAATTTGATAAGCCAAAGAATACTTTTAAAAAATCATTTGAAGTAGTTTATTTAATTTTAATCCTTTACATTATACTTCTATATAATTTTTATATAATTAGAGGGTATGTTAAATAAAGTAAGATAAGTGATAATATTAAATGAGGAATTAATAGGACATGGAAGTGTCTTCAGTAATTTTGATAGGAGGAGTATAAAGATGATTACTGTTACCAGCATCACCATGTTCCAAACCACTACCATCGGAACTAGTTTCACCATTATCTTCCATTATCTCTTGTCCTTCCCCTTCGTAATCATCATAATTATAACGTGATTGAGGATAAATATAATAATTATCCATCGTTGGCCAATATTTTGCTTGTTCTTGTTGTATATTGACCAATTTTTCCATGTAATTTATGTAAAGGTTATCAATCATGTCCTGAAAAGCTATACGACGTTGTTGCCAATACGTTGGTTGCTTGTATTCACTTTTTTCTTTGGAATCCTTTATGGCTGTTGGGGAGGAAGTTACATCTTTTACATCATAGCAGAATCCTATTATCATTTGTAGCGTCGATACGATTCCAATAATTATCAATAGCATATTCCATATGAAGAAACTAATATAAAGAGAAAAAGATTAAGTAACGGATTGACAAAAAAAAAAAATAGAAATAAAGAAAAAATAAACCCCCAGAAAAGAAAGATATATATAATATTACATCATTATTAAATGCGCTGCAAACGCTACCCATTGATTTATAGTAATAATCGAAATGGTCAAAATTTTATATGATAAATGGAATAAATTTGCGATTATATTAATAATCCACATTTTTATTTTTTTTTTTTTTTTTTCGTAAAAAAAAGAAAGGATTTTTTTTTTTTTTTTTTTCCTCAAAAGAAAAAAATATATATATAAAAAAAAGGAAACCTATCAAAAAATGATGTTTATATAAAATGGTTCACACCCTGATTTACTGTAATATGTGAATGTTGTGACTTTCAAAGGAAAAGCACCTGTAAGTTCACGAGAACACTTATTCTTTGTATAACCGTTACATGTGATGTTTATTCTAAATAAAATTCTTAGTGGATGATGGAATGTTTATAATTTAAAATTAAAAAAAAATTGGTGAATGATAAAATGAAAGATAAACGTGCAGGTAGATTTGCGACCCGCAGATTAATCACACGTGACGCAGCAAAATATTTTTCGAGTTGCAAGTACTTATTAACGAGAAGTCTATCCACGTCGGAAAATGCCATAAAAAATAATAAATAAATAAAACACGGATTAAAGTTATCGTAAATCCATTTCTCTGATAGAAACGAGGAGTTATTATGTAAATAAATGGAAATCAGCAAATCATGCTTATATGGGAGTGAAAGATATGGTAATTGTGATCATCATAAATGAGATCCCATGCAATAGGTTTCAGCCGAATTCAATTGAAATCAAATGTTATTACTTGCATTTGAACTTCTTGAATTCAAAATTAGGTAAATATCTATATATATATTTATTTATTTTTTCGCCAAATTTGACCTCATTGCTGTGGTATTTTTGCAAAAGCAACCAACGGACATTGAACTGAATTTGAATCAATCAAATGGTGTTAATTGCGAAATGCTGCGTCTTCTACCTTTTTATATACAGAAAGATGTCTCGTCTACCGCCCTCTCGCATAAAAGTCGTTTAAGTTATATTTCTCCGATCAAGAAAGTAAAAAAATTTATGGCAAATGGCAAATAAATTGAAATTAACCAAATCTTTCTCTGCAGCACAAGCTTTTGACATCCTCAGACCATATGGAGAAAAAAGATCATCGAATTATATTCCAAAAAATCGGAACAAATACTACTCGCACAAAAAATTTTATAAGGTATAAATTTGTCACGTGACGAATTAGTATTCCATTTTCATTTTTTATTCTACCTTCTCTTAAAAGATTAACCTTGCATTTTTTTTTCCTTTATTAAATTTATATTAATTATCGTTTATTATTAAAAATATAATTCAAATGTTCCATATATTAGTATATTAACTTTTTTGCATTAGATTATAATATATTATCTTTTCTTATTAAATATAAATATTTTTGTATTATATAAATATTAATTATATTATTAAATAATTATTATTTATTAAAATTTTATAAAGATATTTTGCTTTTTAAATTAATAAGTTAAATTATATATATTAAAATAATAAAATATAAAAATAATAAAAGTTATAAATATTATAATAAATATTAATAATAAAAATAATATAAAAAATATAATATTATTTTTATTATTTTTTTATTTTTTATATTTTATATAATAATATATTTATAAAATTATAATTTTTATATAAATTATTTAAATAATAAATTTATTATAATATTTATATTAATTTTTTTTTAAAATAAGTAATAATTGAATGTAAAAAACTTTAAATAAATATTAATAATATTAAAAATAAAATTTTATAATTAAAGAAAATTAATCTTTATTGTTTTTATAAATATAACTAAATATATTATTATGTCAGTTTATTTAAATTACTAAAAATTACCTGTAATATTATATTGAACAGAAGGTTTTCTTCACATAAACAAGTAAAATAAAGATAAAAAAATAAAAAAATAAAGAAAACTATTAAAAATAAGAAAAATATATGCAATTATTTAATTAAAAAATAAGAATAATATTGTTTTTATTAGTATATCTGTATTAAATAGTTTATTTATTAAAAATTTATAAAATAAGTTCTTTTTATGATTTTTCTTTATCCTTATTTATAAAACTACTTCTAATTTAAATAAAAAAATGAATTAAATAATAATTATGATAATTAAATTACCAAATTTAGAAAATAAGAAATGTAAATCATTTGTCTATTTAATTTGATAATGAAAATACAAATCCTTTTCCTATTGCACAAAATTTTAAATTTGCAGATCATTTTAACATTTCTTTTTAAGTGTAATAATATATATATAGTAATATACAAAAAATAGTAATTTTTATTATGATAAATCATTATTATTCTAATTTTAATCATACAGTATATATATATATAAATATGCAAATAAAAGCCTTATAATTAAAATTATTTTTAAGTAAAACTTTTCTTATACTTTAATAAAATATTTAGTTTATTAAACTTTAAAGTGACAAAAAAATAATATTAAATAGATTAAATTTCTGAAGATAAGAAATATATAATATTGCTAAAATATATTTATTGATAAGAATGTTAAATAAAACTATCATTAAATCTCAAAAAAATTAGAAAAATTAAATATAAAATGTTTAATAATAGCAATTTTAGTCATTTTTTTTTAAATAATTTAATTATTTTACTAAGTAATTTTAAAGAATATATCTTAAAGATTATGAATTGATCTTTTAATAATTTAAGTTTAAAATTTATTAAAAACTATTAGATAATTATTAAAAGGAATATGGGATTGTATAAGTTAAAAAATTTTAGTAAATTAAAAAGTTTTATAAATGATAAATGATAAAAAATATCAAATAACTTTGTAATTGATTTTGTAGATTTGATATGATGATATTGCAGAAAGGTTATTAAGAAAAATATTAAATAAATATTATATAATTTTTTAAATAAAATCTACTGCTTCTTAGCTTTAAAATGATATAATATATTTCAATTAATGTATTGATGAATAACTATTATAATTTTAAAAATCATCATTTTTTTATACATCTCTATATTAAAATTAAAAAAATATTATATATAAAAACATTTATTAAAAAAAAAAAAAATCTAAAAGAATATAAATTTTTTTTTAATAAAATATTTAACTATTTGATTTTTAAATAATTAATTGATTATTATAAAATTATAATATAAAATATTATTATATCAATAATGTTATTTTTGAAAATAAGTTTAATAAATATAATTTATCTAAAAATTTTTAATATTTAATTTAGTTATTTTTTTATTTTTATATATATATACACTCCCTGGCCAAAAGTTTAGAACCACCCAATAAATTTAAAAAAAACTTAATTTTTTTATTAAATTACATTTTATCATGCTATAAAAAAAGCAAATATAATAATTTT